TCTTCTGGATGGGGGGTTTGGTTTGAACCCCGCTCGCTTCTCTGCTGCTGTCCCAAGCTCTTTATTCCAGATGAGGATTTGGTTGTGGAGAGAAAGTGGCTTTAAGCACTTTGTGCATCAACTGATGCCTCATTCTACGGTACTGGCCCTGCAACAACAAGGGTAGTTCAAAGCCAATTCCAGGGCTGCGGCTCTGCATCTGAGGATGGCAGGGAAAACAGGAGCCCTGTGCCATTCTCCCAGTTAGGAGAAGCCCTCTGGGGGGATTTTCCAGCCCTGGCATTGCATCTGGGGCAGTATCGGGGCAGTATCAGGGCAGCACGTAGTGGCAGTGGCTCTGGCAGGCCTTTGTGTCAGTTTTCCCGGCAGCATTACATCCCATTAATGCTTGTTATCTCAGTGCCTAATGCTTTGGGATTGTAAATCCTCAATAAGACAAGACCCATCTGATCCATCCAGCAGCCCTAGCCAGGAGTCCTGTCGCTCCCCCTCTCCCTGTAGTGCCTTCCCGCCTCCGTGGAGCCTGCCCAGCTCTCTGCTGCCGAGCGCACGTGCGTCCCGGGTGGGGGGAAGGTTGCGCTTTGACGTTTCGCCTCCTTTCCTTCCCTCCCGCCGCTCCCAGTTCAGGGCTGGAGCTGAAGTCACCGGATTGGAAGGAATAACGGGAAAAAGGGTGGAGCTGCTGCCACAGGGAAGAAATTAATTTTCGGGGTGCTTTTTCAGGGCAACAGCAGGGCTGGCGGGACGTCCAGGTCTGTAGGGATGGGGATGCGTGCATCCCCCTCGTCTCACAGCTGCCGGCAGCACCCATCGCCTTGGTGGGAGGTGAGGCGTAGGAGTCCCCCCTGCCCTTTCCCTCTGGTTTCCCTCCCTTCCCAGGCGGCTCTGGGCCAGGCCTGGAGCTGTCATAGCCGGTGACCTTCCCCTTGGCCGGCCTCCCTGTGCCTGCTCAGACCAATAGCCAGGGTGGGCCAGCGCGTACTGGGCTCTTGCCACCCCATAACCTTGGGTGTAACACAAGAGCGGCAGCTCGGGGAGGTGAAAGCAGGGGAAGGCTTGGTCCGCCTGGGCAGTCAGGGAGGTTCAGCCTGGCTGCGGGACTCCTCTGGGAGGCACGGAGTGGCCGTCAGCTTGCTGAGCCACCCCTTCTCGCCAGCTCGGTCTCGGGTGGCAGTTGTGGCATGTGGGGACTGCTGGTGGCTTGCCCACGGCTGGCAGGTCTGGTGTGGAGCACGGGGAGGTCCAGCTCTGGCACCGTCACCTCTCCAGCACTGTCCCCACCTGGTTTGGCTGCAGAAGAAGGGGCAGATCAGCAAACTCTGGCTTCCTGGGGAGAGGAGGCATTGAGCTGAGTTATTGGGTGGTGCAGCTTCTCTGGAGCCGGCAAGGGTTGGGAAGAGGACCAGCTCCAGCCTGTTTGGCTGAGGGCAAAGCCAGGGAAAGCCGTTCCCCTGAGTCAGCTCTCCGACACGCCACCTTGGGAATGAGATAAACTGGTTAGGACGCCGCACCGGTGGCGTGAGATTGGGAGGAGGTGGGGAGCAGGGGAAGCTTCTTTCTAGCACAGGGTGATCTGGGTGAAACTCTGTTCATCCTCATCTTCGGTAGCTGGGGCTGGGCTGAGGACAGGCCCTGCAGCGCGAGGGAGCAGAAAGGGCTGGGTAGAGAGGAGCTCCCAGCATCTGCGGGAGGATTGAGTCTTGGGGAGGGTCAGATCTCGAAGACGATCAAGCACTGTTTGTGACTCTGGTTTCATTTCTAGCCTGGGGCACATCATTTAAAGGCAGCGTGTTTTCACAGCTGTTGAACTGCCTCCTGTACGTTTGCGGTGAGGGCTGTTTCATAGAGAGCCGCTCGTGTCTTTAATAAACCGTCGGTGGTGAGGTTACTGAAGGGATGTAGCTCTGGGGCACGGACAGCCAGGGTTTGGACAAGGCGTCCCGGGCTCTTTGCAACTTTGCTTCCATGTCTGAGGCAAGCCGCATCAGCGGCAGTGGAGCACTCCCTTCTGCCCACTCTCCTTGTCCCTGCCTCCCCCTCTCTGAATAAATACCTCCGAGGCACCTCGTGGAAAATTCCCTGCTGCATATTTTCCTTTATTTTTTTTTTTAAACCTCATTCTTTATCTCCTGCTTCCTCTCACAGGAATGACTGCCTGCTGCTGAGAGCTAAATCCAGTCCTCCTTCCCCACCGGGTCCTACACCCCCATGAGTTTCCTAAAAGCGATGCCAGGCTATTCCCACTGTCATTTTGCTACTGAGGATTCGCCTTCCACCCCCTGGCATGAGAAGCCTGGCATGAGTAACCCTCTGTCTTATCCTTTCCTCTCCAGCCGGATCTCCTCAATTTCAAGAAGGGATGGATGTCCATCCTGGATGAGCCGGGAGAGGTAAGCCTGAGGCAGGGGTCTGCTTCTTCTCCCAGCCCCTGCTGCTAGACGTTCCCCATCGAGTGGGCGATGTCCTTCCCCCTTCCTCACTGAGGTCTTTCCTGCTGGGAAAGGCAGTGAGAAGCCTTTGGTGGAGGCGCTTTGCTCCGTGTGTGGGCACAGAGGGTCACCCAGTGCCCCTCTTCCCAACCGAGGGGCGTAAGGCGAGTTGGAAGAGATGTGGAGGAGGGGGAAGAGAAGGCCAAGGGGTTGCGGCGCAGAGCGTCCCTCCCTGTTCCTATGCTTCCCCTGGTAACTGCCTATCTGTTTCCCTCCTGTCTGCTCCCTTCCCTCCCCCTGCCTGATCCGCCTGCAGTGGAAGAAACATTGGTTCGTGCTGACCGACTCGAGCTTGAGGTATTACCGGGACTCAAACGCAGAGGAGGTAAGCACAGCCAGCCTTCCTCCAGCCCTCTCTCACTTCCCGGCCCCTGGGATAGAGAGGAGCACAGCCTTGGCATGACCAGGAGAAGCGGCAGCGTCCTGTTCTTTGCAGGGTGTGACGAAGAGCATGGGTGTCTGAAGGCAGGCTGGCGGGGTGCCTGGCGGGGCTGTTAGTGGTGGGAGGGGAGGAGAAGGGCTGCTTGTGTTGCTGGGCATCTCGAACACTCTTTGTCCATGCTGCTGCTTGCCCCTCGGGTTAGAAAAGGCCACGCTGTGCCTCAGTAGTGAGCCTGGCGCCTGGGGAGCTGCGGGGCATCGGCAGAGGTGGCACGCCCGTTGGTTGGGGTGACAGCAAGTGACAGGGGCCTTTTCAAACTGGGTTTGAACTGGTGTCCTAGCGGGTGGCTGTGCTTGCAGGCTGATGACCTTGACGGGGAAATCGACCTCCGCTCCTGCACGGACGTGACGGAGTTTGCCGTGCAGCGCAACTATGGCTTCCAGATACACGTGAGTGTCGGGTGCCACGTGGGCACGTAGCAGCGGCACAGAGGGACACTGTGTGGGAATGCGTGCTCCCTCCCCGTGCCGAGAGGCAGGCTCTGCAAACCTTGTGCCGGCACAGTGGCCTGGTGGGACTGGTTGGTGACATGTGGGTGGCAGCGCTCAGGGACGCGAGTGCTGGCTGGATGCAAAGGAAGGAGGAGGAGGAGGCTTTGCAGGGCTGGCTGAAGGCTGCGCTGGGGGCAAGCTAAATGCCAGGAGTGTTTATGTGACCTGTTGGCCAAGGCGGCTTCTCCAACCCTGCAGGGAGGGAAGTGGTGAGCACAGCAGATCCCAGTGTAGCCTGGCTGACCATGCTCTGAGTACCTGTAACCCTGGATCCAGCCTTGGTACCATCCTGTCCTCAGCTGCCTGCTGTAGTAGTGAGAGATGGCTGCTAAGGAAGCGCAAAACCCTGCAGGTGTGCAGGGTTGGGCGCTTGTGGCCTGGGTTTCCCTGCTGTGCCCCAGCACCTGGACAACTGGATGGCACCAGCTCATGTTTGGCCAAATGTGCCAGCAAAGTTTCTTTTACCTTTGCTTGGGAGTGGTCTCGTGGGGGACATGTAATGACCCACAAAGAGCGTGTCTCTGCTCCCACCTCTCCACTTGACCCCAAGAGCACAGGAGTCTTCAAGATGGCGTGTGGTCTCTAGTGCTGACCACCACCCGTGCGAGTGGGTGCTTGGGGGGTGAGTGGGAGCTGCCTGCACCTCCGCCAGGCACTGACAGAGCCTCTGTCACCTCCCCGTTGCAGACGAAGGATGCTGTCTTTACTCTATCAGCAATGACCTCGGGCATCCGGCGCAACTGGATCGAGGCCCTAAGGAAGAATGTGCGCCCGGTCAGCGCTCCGGACGTCACCAAGTAAGAGCTGCCCTGTGCTGCTTCTCCATCTCGCTGCCCCTCTTCCCTAGCAGGCAGGGACTGGGAAGGTCCTTCTGGCTGCTCCTGAATCAGCCCTGCCCACCCCTGCTCTCTGCTCCTCCTGAACATGGTCTGGAGACACCAGCCGGAGGCAGAGGTTGGGAGTCTGATGGCTCCTGCTCTTGCACCTTCTTTTTGCCTCACCACATCAGTTTAGCCCTGTTTCACTGCCAGTGTAGCTGAAACTGCGGCTGAATCCTCCCTGCCCTGTGGGGGAGCCCGTTTTCCTAAGGGGTGGGATGCTACAAGCCCAGCTCTGTGCTCATGGTGGGGTTTCGTAAGGCTGTGCTGAGTCTTGGGCATCCTTTCCCGTGCGGTGCCTCTCCATCAGCCACTGCTCTGCTTGCAGGCTCTCTGACTGCGATAAGGAGAACTCCTTCCATAACTGCATCCCCCAGAAGGGCTCGCTCCGGACGGAGGAGCAACAGCGGCCGGGCTCGGGCTCCGAGGGGAACTCGAAGGGCGGTTACTGGAAGGCGGACGGGCAGCGCCATGCCTTTGACTATGTGGAGCTGTCTCCCTTGCCGCAGGACCCCGGGAATCAGGGGTCCCCGCAGAGGACGAGAGGGAGCTTGAGGATATCCGACCGAGCTCCCAAGCAGGAGGAGCTGGAGCGGGATCTGGCCGTCCGTTCGGAGGAGAGGCGGAAATGGTTCGAGACCCCTGACGGCAGGGTCCCAAATAGCGATGGTCTGGTGGGGGACTCTTCTCGCAAGGCGGGGGAGCAGGACCTCCCCACTCCCCCGCTTTCGGAGGATCAGCGGATCAGGCTGAGTGAGGAGATAGAGAAGAAGTGGCTGGGGCTGAACCGCCTGCCCCTGAAGGACTCTCGGCGGGTGCCCTTGACAGCATTGCTGAACCAGAGCAAGGGAGGCCACGGAGACACCAGTGAGGCGCTGAAAAAGGAGGTAAGAGCGACCCTCCTCTCTGAAGTGGGATTCTGGTGGCCCCTTGCCGTGGTCCCTGGCAGCAGGAGGCTCCACAAGGCAGAGGCGTGAGGAGATGGTCGTTCCTTCTAGCTCTGTTTGCCACCCCTTGAGCGCGTGGAAGCTTTTGCAACCGGATAACGCGAGGCCAGAGACATGATCTCGTGCACCTCAGGAGGTTCCCCAGGCCACATTTTGGTCCAGGATAAGTTAGTTGGTGGCACTGCTCGTGTTTCCCAGGAGTGCATCTGCAGCCTCTCTTTGGCTGTTCCTAAGCCTGCAATGCTTCACCTGCCCCCTATGCGCTTGTCATCCCAGCTATATGTGCAGCGGTGGTTTCCTCCAGCACAGATCCACCTCTGGAAGTTGGGATATCTTCTCCCCTCCTTGCTGTTGCTTACCAAGCTAGGGCTGGGTTTGCAGGTTTGGTCCTTTGGCAGGCAGCCATTCCTACGGGAAGCGGACATCTCCATTGGCTGTGCATGGTCTGCCCCATCCCTAAACCCAGGGTTTGGATGTGGCAAATTGGTCGGGCTGTGGCAGTTTTCCGCCTCTGGCTGAGCATCCCTCCCCTCCCTGGCACAGGTCCAGTCACTGCGGGCGCAGCTGGAGTCCTGCCGGGCCCGAAATGAGAGCCTTCGGGAGGCGGCAAAATCCCAGGGAGACAGCCACGTGCCGCGGGGGTACATCTCACAGGTGAGCAGGGTGCCAGACGTGGGATCCAAGTCCCAAACTGGGAAATGCTGGGACTCGGGTCATTGCTGAGCAGGTATCGCTAATCATTGGGTTGCCATGGTGACTCTAACTGAGCCCACTTGTAATCAATGTTAATTACATAAAGGCTGGTGCATGTTGCCTGCCCTTAAAGGGGCCAGAGTATAAACAGGGAGGAGGAGAGTTAGGGGAGGAGTGCAGGATCTGTGCCCCACTTTGTGTGTGGGCATGATGCTGGCCTGGGGGGCGAGCTGTCCCCCAGCTCGGGGGTGGGTCAGCAGCTCTCTGCCGAGCCGCCTGCGCCTTCCTCGGTGGTTTGGGGTCCTTGCTGGCAGGGGCTCCCGAATCCCTTGTTAAAAGCGGTCCGTCGGGCCCTGGGGAGCTCCTGTCCCTGCCAGGGCCACCCGAGCCCTGAAGGTCACTGTGACAGCGCAGCCCGTTTGCTGGGACGGCACGTGGGAAAGCTGCAAAGCGGAGTTTGTCACACTGCAGCCACTTGCTTCTCTGTGTTTATTTATTCCTCCTCCCCCGTGGACTCCTCCAAAGCAAGCAGGGTCACATCCTGCAGGGGTTTCCTGGGGGGAGGCTGCCGTTCCACCACGCTGTGGGGATTTTAGGATGTGCCCTACGTGTTGAAAGACACAGAGGGGGTGGGGAGGAAGGAAATAGGGGCTGGGGAAGCCTGTTGCAGCGGGTTGGCTGTACCTAGCCCAGATAAAGAAAACCACAAGCCCCGTGGCGCCTAGCCCAGCCACTTACCAGTTGCTCTGTCATCTTGATTTAATATTTACAGCTCACGGGACTCCCTATGGTCAAAAAAAAAAAAAACCAAAAGGAGTAGGGAGGAATGGCACCTTATCTTCCTCATAACTTGGCTCAAGAGGCCAGCATTTCACATCGGAGGCCAGACTTGGCCTCTCCCCAGAGGACTCATTCCCTCTGGCTGATGGGGTTCGCAGCCAGTCCGTGGGCAGACCACCAAATTGATCCCTCACCTTTTCCTTTCCATTAATCGATTTGTGAAGCTTCCCAGCTTCCCTCTGCTCAGCAGGGAGGAGTAACCAGCAAGGACTTGCATTCCCACATGTTGCACTGCCCTTTACATCAGCCTTCGCCTTTGGGGAAGGAATGGGATGACAAGGAGCTATTGGGGGATGCGATGGCTTCCCGTAGAGATGGCTTCTCTATGCTGATTTCTTGGAGGCCCTGGCTTTTAAAAATAATACTCTGGTTTGGTGGGAAAAAATCCTTCCTGAGGGGTTTGGGGCAGGGCTGTCAGTGTCTGGAGGGAGAGCGGAGGTGTCGCTCCGGGATGGGAACTGCTTTGCTTTGCTCTAACACCAGTTAACCACAGCGCTCAGTGTTGAAAGAACCATCCCCATGGTCTCAGAGCTGTCAGGAAGGAGAGCGAGCTGTGTGAGGAGGATCCCTGACCATTAGGCTATGGGGAGGGCTCCTTGGCAGCCTTCATGGGCTGCGGGGCTGCTCAGGGTGTCACTTTTCAGGAGAAGGGGCTCAGTTTTCATTGATTCCGGGGGATGCTGCTTTATTTAAAAGGCAGATGCTGCAATGCGGTTCCTGCTGTTGATCTCCAGCCAGGCAGTGCAGCCTGGTGGAGAGTCTGGACTGGGGTGTCGGGTCAGTTTTTTCCAACTCTTGGCCCAAGAGGGGTGTTCTTGCCTTGCTGCTTCAGTTTTAAAAAGGGGAAGAGGAACGTGTCGTCCTCTGCAAAGACACGGGGCTTGCAAGATGTGTGACACCGTCACATGGTTGTGTTCAGTGTTAGAAGTGCAGCCTCACTTTCAGAAGGAAAAGACCCTCCTGGGAAGGGGTCTCGCTTCTCTCAAAACGGCCCTGGCCTCGGGTCGGGTTTGCCAAGGCAAACGTCAGCCCAGCCAGGTGCCTGTCTTGGCCCGAGCCCTTCCTCCTGCCCTCCTGGTCCCTCAACCCTCCTTGTCCCGACTCGGCAGGAGGCCTGTGAGCGCAGCCTGGCTGAGATGGAGTCGTCCCACCAGCAAGTGATGGAGGAGCTCCAGAGGCACCACCAGCGGGAGCTGGAGCGGCTGCGA